AGTTTGCACACCCATATGGGGAGAAATAACTGGGTTAATTATTTTGAGTCTAAAGAGAAGAAAGCAGTGGAGACTAGACATAATCAGCACTTTAGAAATGGTTTTATGATCCAGGCTGGGGTTGTGGCTCAGTGGTAGAATGCTCGCCTACCATGTGCGAGGCCCTGAGTTCGATCCTTGTCACCACATATAAATAAAGGTATTGTGTGCAACTATAACTAAAAAGTAAATAAATATTTAAAAAAGAAATGGTTTTATAGTCATTTTGTTTCTGAGATAGAACTATCTCATATAATTCAGAGACTTGTTACAGAGCCTGATTTGTAATGGTGACTGCTACTTTCTCATGGTTGTGAATAACATGATGTGTGCCTCCTCTTAGTCCATAAATTAAGCAGGCCAAAATATGACAATGACACCAAATATGCAAGAAGGTCTTATACCTGACTTATAGAAAATATTTCACTGCAGGTTCTGTTGTGGTGTTCCTCTTTGCTAAGGACGAAGGAGCTCAACTCTCTACCTACTGCCACTACCAAAGTTATGAGAGATCAGACTAGTGGGACTAGGGAGATACTCAGATCTTAAAGGAGCTATATTACTAGCTGTTTCAAGCCAAGCAAAATTGATTGCCTTGGATATTCCTTGCCATAAATGAAACTAACATTCTTTTAAAATTACAGAAAGGAGCCACGTGGTGGCACAAGCCTGTAATTCCGGAGGCTTGGAAGGCTAAGACTTGAGGATCGAGAGTTCAAAGCCAGTCTCAGTATAAATGAAGCACTAAGTAACTCATTGAGACACTGTCTCTAAATAAAATAGGGCTGGGCATGTGATTCAGTGGCCCAGTGCCCCTGAGTTAAATCCCAGGTTACCCTCCCCCTCAAATTACTGGAAGGAATCATCACGCACAGTTTGACAGTATCAGAATATCAGGGGGTAGCAGAAGGCTTTCAGAGAGGAGCAATTATTTTTCTGATCATTCCCAACCTAATCACCCTGGAATACATTAGGAAAAGATAATGTGATATCAAATTTTGAAGTATTGATTCTAATATCTTAACAGCTACTTATCAGCTAGTCAAGAAAATATGGGGTTGTATAATATGCAGAAATCAAAAAATGAACAGCTTGTGGGTATGTTGTGCTTGGAAAATGGTTGGTTCTTCCAATTAAGCACAATAGTGTCTTGGTAAGAACATTCATTTGTATGAGTTTAGTGAAATTGGTATTAGTATTAACAGATTGATGAGGTAGGGAGAATGAGAAAGATAACACTTATTCCTCATTTATACAAGGAAAGCAAAATTGAAAGTCAAAGCATCTTGGGGAAAAGGTTATATATGGACATGTATGTAAGAAAGCTGTAAGGTCCTAGACCATGAAAAAAAAGAAAAAGGGGCAAGCTATATGGACATGCTATCTGAACATGAGTTATTTATGGACTGATTTTGTTAAGAAAAGCTAGAAACACTTGACTTTGAGAAAGAGTATGCAATTTTTGTTCTGGACTTGGGTAATATGGAAGAATTTACCAACATATCTTTCTGTTTCGGGGGGGGGCATTGGAAGTGGGAAAATTTGGAGTCTATTTCTACCATACCCCAAATTCTCTTTGCACTTTGGTTTATCAGATGTTGTCATAAATTGCAATCCCCTAGGTATATGCTCTGTGTTTCTTCACTTATGAACCCCTTCCCTTGGGGGCATCAAATTCCTTCCCAACCTTTTGGAGCAGCTGAGTGACCCCCACTGCCTGGCAATAAGAGAGGGAACTTGAGCTGTTAATAGAGCTAAAGTGGTTTTTAAAAAATCTCCTGAGAGATTACAAGTATGCCTTTTAACTCAGTGCTTGTCTAAAGTAACCTCTCTGTCCTTCCAGTTATTAATTCACACTAGACAGGCAGCAAGCTCAGAATGGCTGTTGGTGGGGAGAAGGTGAGGTATCTGGGAGGGCTGATCCTCATTGCCTTGTTATAACATGCTCTGATCTGTAATATGGGATCTGCAGACAATGAGGACTAAGTGAGATCATGTCTGGAAAGTAGCCCAGATCCTTAGAAAGTATTAAAATGGGTTTTATGATTAAGTATCTATTAGACTAGAATTGCGTACTGCCATTACTACAAGGACCTTAGAAATTCATGTCCTTCTTTTACAAATATTTGAGGAAACTGGAGCCCAGATAGGTAAAACTAGTTAGTAGCTTGTCACCACAAACTAATGAATTGTGTGTTGAAGCAAATAAGTTTCTTAAGATTATGTCTTAAAACATGATCAAATTCTGTCCACATTTGGTCTGTACTTACAGCCTTAGAAGTCTGCAGGGAGCTTGTTGGGCACCATAAGTAAGTGAGCAAGCTGGAACTGCCAGGACAGGGAGTGGCAGGGACTGTAGCAAACCAGAAAACATGCCTGTTTTGTGTAAAGGAGACAAGTTGTCTCTGAATATGCAGACGGAGTGTTTTGGGACCCTCTCATTTTCTAAGGGAAATTAGAATTGGCTTCACCTGGCATGAACTAAATAAAACATGTTGGATGGGCTGGATTTGGCCTGAGGTTGACCTTGTTCCCAAAGATATCAGATGCATGTTCACCTTTGTGGATGCTCAGTGATTAACAACAGCTAAGTATAAGTTTTTCCTCTACATCAAGACATTGTTTTTGATGAATAGTTTTGACATCCTTCCCCTGCTTTACCTCAACAGAGGGAAATCCATAACCAGTATACTCCTCTCATGTTCTTTACTGTCAGGGAAACTTTTTAATGAGAAGGAGAAAGGAAAGGTATAGGACTGGAAAGAATCACAAGCTGCTGATCTACTTTTGATTAAAGAAGAATTAACAGTTGTGTTCAGTCCAGTGTGTCCTGTCAGTACTTACTTTTTTTTAAGGGGCATCCAGGAAATTTAAAAAATGTTATTAGTGGAGTATAGTTATATATAATAGTGTAGTTCATTTTGACATAATCATACATGCATGGACTGCCTGGTACTTTCACGTCCATCTGGGACTTAACAGTGAAGATTTATGCCAAGATCCAGTCCTGAGACAGGGAAGAAAGAACACTAACTTCCAAACAAATACTAGATTCTTCTCTGTCACTGTGCAAATATCATCTGCCCTTTAAAAAGAGAAGCCTTCTAAGTCTCTGTCTACAGAATTCTTTTTAGCTATGACTGACTGGGAGTACCCAAAAGCTTTAAAAAATAAGCTAAATGTCAAAAACATTTCTCTGTAGAATTACTGCAGTCATCTCAGTTTCTTCCTTACCCACCCACCCAGTCTGTTGTAAAAACAGTAATCAGCCATCTTAAAACATTGGTCATTGGGTTCATGTCTCTCTTTGATTTACAAGACTCCAGTTGCTAAGGGCCTCTCAATGTCCTGAAAGGCTTTATATAGTTGGTGCCCCCTGCACAGCCCTCCCATTACATCACTGACCTCACCTCCTTCTACTGCTCAGCTATGTTGACCTCCTTACTGCTCTGTACACTCTAGAATGCTTCCTCCTAGGAGTCTTTGAATTTGATGTTGTCAGTTTAGAAGACTCTTTCCCCAGATACCCCATACTTATTCTGTTGCTTCTCAGAGAAGCCTTGTATACTAAAAATTGTAATCTCCTCTGCCTCTTCTAAGCCCTGAATTTCCTATCCGTACTCCCTATTTCCCTTCTCTCTCCTTCTTCCTTTCTTCCTTTCCCCCCTTTCTTTCTTCCTCCCCTCCCCATCTATCTTTCTTTCTGGTACTAGGGATTGAATCCAGTGGTGCTCCACTACTGAACTACATCCCCAGTCCTTTTTATTTTGAGATAGGGTGTCACTAAGTTGCCAAGGCTGGTCTTGAACTTCCAATCCCCCTGCCTCAGCCTCCCAAGTCACTGGGATTGCAGGTGTGTGCAACCATTCCTAGCTTCAAATAGGAATCAACAATTTTATTTATTTATTTGTTTGTTTGTTTATTTATATTTTGTAATGCCCTCCAACATGGTAGGCAAGCACTGTACCACTAAGCTCCTTTCCCAGCCTCTCTCCCCCTTTTTTTTATAAATAGTTATAATAGTTGTCCCCAACTGCTATGACACATTTTACTTACTTGTATTTCCTTATTTTAAGTTCCATGAGTGTAGGAGGTTTGTCTGTCTTGTTCACTGCTACGTTGGTAGAGCTTAAGACAGAACTGAGGAGCACAGTAGGTGCTTGACAAGTATTTGTGGGATGCATTTTGAAGATTTTTAAGTTAAGGATGGTGGTGTTTGCTGAGCTTGGCCAATAAACCTCTTGCTACTGGATCGTGGTGTAACTAGCATTTCCATGAATAGATTTTGTCTCTTTTTCAAGTTTTCTGTGTCAATTCTACCTCCTAAACATATCGGATTTTTTTGACTTTTCTGTATCTCCACTGTTTTTACCTTAGTTAAAACCATCACGAGCTCTTACTTGGAATATAGCCTCTCACTGTCTTCTTTTGCCCACTCCAGACAGTCTCACTCAGTAGCCAGATGAGCTATCTAAAATCTAAATCTCTGGTCCTTTGGCATTCATTCCCTAGTTTGAAATCCTTCAGTGATTTCTCCTCCCACTCACATAAACCTCAATATCCTTAACCTATCCCACAGGGCTCTGTGTGGTCTGGTGACAACAATGACTTTCTCTGTTCCTCTAATAGGCCAAGGTCCTTCCTTTTTGACTTAGGATCTTTGCTGTTTTCTCCCTTTCCTTTGTTGTTTGCCCCCTTCTTAATCTGGTTGACATTCCCCTTTTCTGGAAATGTCCTTTCTCCGAGTCCTTATCCTAGTTAAGTTCCCTTTATTTGCCACAATGGTAATGAATACTTGCAAAATTATTTGTTTAATGGCTGGCTGTATGTGTAGCTAGAGCTTAATGAATATTTTTTTGTGGAGCAATAAATGAAAACAGCACATAGATGTTGTGTCCCCCAGGGACTGGGGGCCTTTTGAAATGATATCTTATTAATTAATGAAATGTTTCTCTCCACAGAGATTATTTCACAGACGATGATGGAGAGATGGTACCCAGGACAAATAATGCAGCAGGTAAGGATGCCATGGACTTTGTCTTATTATATTCTTTTTATTTATTTTTATTTATTTTTTTTAGTTGTGGTTGGACACAATACCTTTATTTTATTTATTTATTTTTATGTCTTGCTGAGGATCAAACCCAGTGCCTCGCATGTGCTAGGTGAGCCCCGAGCCTTGTTACATTCTTGGTTTCCTGTTAATCATCATTCTTTTGAATTTGGGGTCTTTTAAGTTCATTATGACAGACTCCTCAGATTTCTGTGAAGTTCCAAATTTGCACATACCACTGCAGCAGTGGGAATTATATAATCTCCACTGGGGAATTATGTACTGCATAAAATTATATGTGCTAGGAAGCAGCACAATGCAGTAAATCATAATTGAAATACTTATGTGAATGCTTTGCACTTTTAATGATTCTATAATTGCCAGATTAAAGTCACTTGTAAAATGATTAAAATAAATTCTGCCACTAAAAGGAAATCTCTACCCTAATACACCATTAAAATGGCTATAATAATATTGTCAATCTTGGGGATAAGATTAAATGACAAAAAGCCCTTGGTATAGAGGCTGTCAAGGAACAAGCACTCTGTAAATCTTATTATTGTTATTAAAGTAGTCATAACAATAGCACAATCATTACTGCTGTAATGTTAGCCAGAGATCTACTTGAATTATCAAACCAAAGTGAGAGACAGCTCTCTCTTTGGGGACTATTTTTCTCAAAACCTTACTCCATATTGAGGGTTTTACTTACTTGTTAAGTGATTGGCCTTTTGCATAGTAGCCTTGAAGCATTGATGGTTCGCGTGTATCACATGGAATGAAGGTTTAATTGGAACCAAGTAAGGATTTGAGAGTTACTTAAAATTAGTATTTGAACCTGTGTATGTTAAATTCAGAAATTCCAAAGGTTATGATACTCAACATTTTGAATGTCTGGGTCCTGCATTTTGAGGAGAATATCAAAGAATTAGGGCAAAAAAGGAAGGGGAATGGATGAAATGCCCACTACCAACAGACATTTGGTGAGATGTTTTTATTTACCATTCATAATCCATGTAAGAGCTTTGGGAGGACATATTATTATCCCCATTTTTATAGAGGAATGAAGCTTAACAAAATTAAGAGATTTGCTTAAATTCCCATAATAGCAAGTGGTCAGGATTCAAATCCCAGCTCCTTATGTTCTGCTCTTTCCATCATGTCCCACTAATCTCCACGTAATATATTTTTGCTCTGTTATTTATTTATTTTTGTGGTACCAAGGGTTGAACCCAAGGGTGCTTAACCACTGGGAAACATACCTGGCCCTTAAAAAATAATTTTTTTTTTTTTTAGTTGTTGATGGACCTCTATGTTATTTATTTTATTTTATATGTGCTGAGAATTGAATCCCGTGCCTCACACATGCTAGGCAAGTGCTCTACTACAGAGCCCCAGCCCCTACCCAGTCCTTTTTTCATTTTTTATTTTGAAACAAGGTCTCACTAAGATGCTTAGAGCCTCACTAAGTTGCTGAGCTTGGCTTTGAACCTGTGATCCTCTAGCCTCAGCCTCCAGAGCCAATAGGATTACAGGCGTGCACCACTATGCCCTGCTTTCACTCAGTAGTCTATTTAATTTCACCTAAATGTGAAAGAAATCCTTTTTTTTTTTTTTTTAAATTAAAAAAGTGGCATTTGCTTAGAAACATTCAGTATGTCAACGGGACAAATGCAACAAAACACCACCATCATCATCATATGTTGTTATTATTTAAAATCAGAGTGTTATACAATTAGCAGAACAACTATTTTGTGTAAAAATAATTGAAATCAAAACACCAAAAACAATTGAAAATGACTAGAAATATCATCTCCACGTAAAACTAATTTGTGCTGTGTACCAATAAAATCTGCTTTAAATTTCTGAGCTAGTTTAAAGTTACTTAAAATTAGTATTTAAACCTGTGTATGTTAAATTCAGAAATTCCAAAGGTTATAATACTCAACGTACCAGGCAAGGTTAGCAGCTATTGACAATGCCCTTAATAAGGACAGGGCTCTCTAAAGACACACTTAATACTGTGTTAATTTTATAAAAATTAAAAGACACTGCACAGTATTCAGTGTTGAAACAAATCATTTAGTCTTAAGTTTCAGAATTCTTTTTACAGTCAATGATTTAAATACTTTAAGGCAAGGAAAAAACTGTCCTGGAACCACTTTATTGAACATCATCATTTTCTTCATCGTCTTTCTCTTCACCAGCATCTTTTGGATCCTTCTTTTTCCTTTTGTTCCTTTTCTTTTTCGACCTCAAAAAATCCCACCCCGCATCAGACTGTCTTTTGTCCTAGAATATAGAAAAAGCCTTTTTATATTTTCCTTTATCTTAAAATCTGTACTTCCCTTAAGGCTGTATATTATCTGCAACAATTACTCCTGTTTCTTTTAGTTTCCTGACATCACTAATGGATAGGCCAGAATGTGACTTGCAGTGGGGTTGGGGGCAATTTTCAGAATAAAACAAGAAAAAGGCTGAAGGAGATCTCTTTGGTGCATGGGGCCCTTAAAGCTCTCTCTTTCCCCCTGCCCTTTTGCAAGGGGGAATATATGTTTTAATTTCTCCATCAAAATTGACCTTGTTCAACTTTATTTTATCTTCACAATTTTTCTTTCTCTTTAGCAGACAAGAATTTCCATCTTTTTGAGCATTTTTAAAAATTATGAGATTGACTGAAGCACGTGGGTGCTTTTTCTTGTGCTCTATGTTAGTCAACTTTTTGTCACTACGGCAAAATACCTAAGAAAATCAACTTGAAAGGAGTAAAGATTTATTTTGGCTTACAGTTTCATTTCATAGTTGCTTGGCTGTATTGCTTTTGGGCCTGTGATGAGAGTACATTGTGGCAGGAGTACATAGTGGAGGAAATCAGTTCACCTCATGGTGGCAGAGAAACGAAGAGAGAAGGAAAGGGGCCAGGGCCCCCAAAAATCTCCTTTGAGGGCATGCCTCCAATGATTTAACATCCTTTCACTAGGCCCCACATTCTAAAAGTTCCACCACCTCCCATTAGTACCATAGGCTGATGGCCAAGCCTTTAGCATCTGAGCATTTGGGTGACATTTAAGATCCAAACCAGAACATGCTCCTTCTGCCAAGTTTGCAAAAAGAAAGAGAGAGGGAAGGAGAGAAGGAAAAAGAAAAAGAGCATATAGTGAGATTTTGCTTCTTTTTCCTTAGGACCCCTTTTGCCCCTGTGTCTAGCTAATTTTTCATTGAGATGTAGGGTGATCAGGGCCTGTTTGTTCTCACTTGCTCTGATGCTATCTGTAGAACTCAATGTATTGCCATAGCTTTTATTCTTTCTAATGTAAAAAAAAAATAATTCAGTAATAAATGCTCATTTTTCTCTCCTCTCAGCCAAGAAACGATATATTTTCTATGTCTTTTATCTTTCACCATAACCCCAGCCCTCCCTGAGTCTCAGTTCCTCTTGTGTTCCATGCTAGACCAAGACCCTTATTTTTTCACAGTGTCACTGCTCAGAACCAGGCATAGGGTTCACAGACCCTCCAAGAACAATACTTCTGTTGATTAATGGAATGGTTGAAATTTGACCCCTTTGTCTCATTCCTCCTGAGTCTTAGACTTAACACAGTATTAGCATACTGCTAAGAGAGACGGGTGGAAAGAACATGGGATTGGTTTTGGGCAAGCAAACTTTCTGATCCTTTATTTACTCAGGAGTAAAATGAATTCAGTAATCACATTGGTCTATTTCACTAGTTGCTGTGACTCTATAAATGCCTTAATTCATGCAAAATTATTTTGTAACCTATAGTGCTGTATGAAGATATTGGTTGCTACAATTATTATTCCTAAATAGTATCCTGAAAAATTCTCTTATAGAGATTTGTAGAAATACTTCTTAGCTAGTAGCTTTTTTCTTTCCTTTTTTAAAAAGTTAAAATTTTTTTTTTCACAATACCTTTATGCTATTTTTTTTTTTAATTTTAAATGATGCTGAGGATTGAACCCAGGGCCTCATATGTACTAGGCAAGCACTCTACTTCTGAACTATAGCCCCAGCCCTTTTCTTTCCTTTTAAAGACTAGTTTGGTTATTTTTTGTCATGTAAAAAACTACCCCAAACTTAGTGGCTTGAAACAGGAATGGGTCATGCAGATGCGGTGTATCTGTAATCTCAGTGACTTGGGAGGCTGAGGCAGGAGAATCTCAAGTTTAAAGCCAGCCTCAGCAATTTATAGAGGCCCTTAACAACTTGGTAACACCCTTTCTCAAAGTAAAAAATAGAAAGGGCTGGGGTGTTGCTCAATGGTTAAGCACCCCTGGGTTTAATCCTGGGTACCAAAAAAAAAAAAAAAAAAAGAAAAGAAAGAAAGAAAAGATTGTCAGCAGGGCTGGGATTGTAGCTCAGTGGTAGAGCACTTGCCTCGCACGTGTGAGGCCCTGGGTTTCATCCTCAGCACCACATAAAAATAAATAAATAAAAATAAAGATATTAAAAAAATATTGTCAGCAAACTTCAGCCCATAGACCAATATCCATTTTTTTGTAAATAAAATTTCAGTCACCTAGTCCTGCTTAATTCACTTATGTATTTTCTGTGTCTGCTTTGAGCTACATGGGCAGAACTGAGTAGTTATGACAGAGACTGTGAAGCCCATAAGCCTAAAATCCTATATGGCCCTTTAAGAATAGGTTTGCTTACCCTTGGCTTAAAACAATACTGTATTATTTCTCACAGTTCTCTGTTGGCAAACTGGGCATTTTTTTTTCTGCTGGTCTCATGTGGGATCACTGAAATGACTAATCTAACAGCTTGCCTGGGCCTGAGGGTCCAAGATACCCTTGCTCACATGTCTGGCATTTGGTGACTGGGTATAAGCTGGGCATCTTAATTTCCTGGAACGTGGCCTTTCCTTTTCCAGTAGGTAAACTGGGCTTTAATGCACTGTGGTCTTGAGGTGCTAAAAAGGCAAGAGCAGAAAAAAGCTTCTTACTGTGAATCATAGTTTCTGGGATTCATACAATATCATTTTCATCATGTTTTGTTACTCAGAGCAAATCACTGGGCCACCCCAGATTTGAGGGCTGGAGAAATAGATTCTACTTAATTGGAGGAGTAGGAACACCATATTGCAAAGGAGCATGAACACAAACCATGTAGTTTTTTCTACTAAGAACCATTATTAATATGATCTACCTCAGGCTACTTTATATGAATTCTTTCTATGTGGTCCAGAATTGAAATGCATTTTGTGGAAACCGTAATCTTCTGAAATGTGCCACTTAGAATGATCAAGGTGCCTTTATTATATAAATTTCATTGTTGTTCTTTTTCACTGACAGCTTTTCTTAGTGACACTAAAGATAGAGGCCCACCAGTGCAGTCACAGACTTGGAGAAATGGTGAAAAGGTCCCCTTTGGGCAGACACATTTCTTGAGAGCATTTGAGAAGCCCCCTCAGGTGCAGACCCAGGCTCTTCGAGACTTTGAGAAGGTAAGTCACACGATGGATAGCTCTAATCCCAATTAAAAACAGTATGATGGAATAGTGATGTCTTATAAAAATATGATGTGTACATTAGTTGGGGTTATAAGCATAGTCATCATAATGGTGTTTGAAGAGCCTATGTCCCATAAGCATATGCTCTGTTAGCTGTGTGCTGGTGGCTGTGGTTTATGGATATTTGCCTGTACCAATAAATTTTTGTTTTACCGTTTGTGTTTTTTTAAGTGTTTATTTTTTAGTGGTAGTTGGACACATACCTTTATTTTATTTATTTATTTTTATGTGATGCTGAAAATTGTACCTAGGACCTCGCACGTGCGAGGTGAGTGCTTTACCACTGAGCCACAACCCCAGCCCCACCATTTGTGTTCTTGTTTACTTCTCAGATGAAGTCAGGAAGTTTAAGTAGCACCCTGAGATTCTGTAGCTGCGACATAGTAAGCCCAGGAGTCCTAGTCCAGTCAGCTAGCATTATATTCTCTATTACTGTCTGGGACCATTCCAGAGATCTGAGTATTGTTTGCTCTATGAGGTTTCTCAGAACCATTTGCATCTCATCAAGCATCTAGCCATGTTGCTTGATATTCCTTGCTTGTCCTTAGATTTGGTTAAGAAGCAATGACTGATAGTGTAATATAGACCCCCAGCTCTCCTGGAGCTGGGTTGATCCCAGGGAATCTATACAATAGGACCTGTCTGCTGGGATCATAGGGCCCAGAAAGAGGCACCCATAATGTCTTTTACCCATGTTCTAAAAAAAGAAACAGCTCTTTGGTGCCCTCTGGGGGTTACCCAGTGGGCAGGCCTCACATGAGTACTGCGTAATTAGATCCTTAGATCCTGTGGTTTTCTTTCACTCTGGAGTTGATCACTTTGGTCATAAAACAATAAAACTCCATTTTTCAAAAAAGTTTTGTGTTGAAATGGTTTATCCTGTCTTTTCTCATCTTGTAGTTATAAATGTTTTCCTGGGACTTCAATTATTTGTACTAGATACTGCCATGGCAGTAATGTTCCATATAACATGTTCTTAGGAATTGAACAACTTACTCTTGGTCTTCTTGATCAGAGTTGTTTGTCATGGACACTGATTTTTTTAAAAATCAAATAATTCTCAGGAATATTAAGTGACTTTAAAGAAAAGCTGTGTGTCTGGTTGTGGGAGTGGGGTAGTAACTCAGGCCCCTCCTTTTCCCCCACCTTTTGGATCTGCTACTGCAGAAGGGCTGAGAGCTCCTTGTTTGGGGAGCCTTGACAGGCAGTCTTCCCATGTGTTCCTTGTGGCTGAGAAGTGACTGGGAACATAGACATGATGGGTGTTGCCTCCACTGAAAGTTTGAATGGCTGGATGCTGTGGGGCTGAGCAGGGCTTAGCTGACTTTCAGATATAAAGTCCTGAGTCCTTTTCTCTTAGAGTTCAAGTCTAATATCATGGATTTGTCCTTATTTCTTATGGGGAATCACTGACAGAAACCAAGTTAGGATGCAGAGAAAAGGCCAATGACAGATAGTTAAATCTCTCTCCTCTGTACATCAAGTAATAAGTAAAAAACAATGAGACTAAAACACTTCTTTGTCAGAAACTCATTGCCAGTCCACCATGCTGTGTTGTGCTCATGTATGTGTTCATTCTTATATTCATTCATTTAGTAGATTATGAGGGACAGTACCTCCATGAGAGGACTTGAAAATTGGAGGAAACCTTAGTTAGAAAAAATATAGGAAGGGTCAGGTTACATTCCAATGTTCCATCCTTAAAATGACAGAATACCATGACATTTTCTGTAAGATTTTAACTGTGCATTCTGGAGTCTTGGGATAAAGGATGGGTGATTGTACTGTAAGACAGGAAGTAACATGTTAAAGGTTTTGTGTCAGAAAAGGTTGATTCCTCCACAGCTTGAAGAAGATGTCAAAGGAATGCAATCTGAGATGAGCAGCCAGGAATCTGTATTTCATCTATTCTTATTTAATCTGTCCATGCAACAAATGTTTGATCACTTTAAGAAATTATTCCTGCCCTTCGAATAGGTACTGTTTATTAGGAATTTCAGACATTATGTAACTTAAAGGTGCTGTCATGGAGATAAGAACACTGTACTCTGAAATTTGGGAGAACATATCTAATTTTATTAAAGGAATGGTGAAGGGCCTTCTACCAGTGATTATCTCTTATGGCTATACAGTGAAGGAGGTTTCCAAAATTGTGTTATATTTTGCTAGTCAGAGAGAGAGAGAGTGCAATACTCTAGACAGTGAGGACATTTTTGGAGAAGAAAGATATACTCATGAGTGAGCCAATGAGAGACTGGATTATAGGGAGATAAGAAAGGAGAGCTTAAACAAGGAGAGAAGTAAAAAAATTAATGCATCAGTAAGGTGATTGTTTCTAAAATACTTGCTGCTATAGGACATTTGGGAAAATGCCTTTGATTCCAGAGTAAAAAGTTATAGACTAAAAGTGAAAAAACGGATACATTATGTAACCAAAACATAATTGGTCAGTTAACAAGCGAAAATGATAAGGGACAGTTATGTCAATGCAGGGGAAAGGGATAAGAAGGGCAAAACTTTGAAGATATGATGGTTTCTCTTTCCTTCTCTACCCTCAGTGAACAGCAGGAGTGGGGTGAAGAATGATGGGGAGGGAAGGAAGAGCAATGCTTTGGGCCCTGCTTTGATTCACCTTTCTAGGTGTCAGTTAAATTCTAACTCCCAGCTGTATTTGTCAGGTTGAGACCAATAGATGGTATTTCACAGGATAAAAGGAGAGTATCACTTAGCATATAGCCTTCATTTGTGTCTTTGAATGTGTGAGTGATTTAATTAATTTTAAAGCCTTGTCAGCTTTGTTATAAAGAGTTTGCACTGATAAAGGGATCTCTTTTCTTTCTAGATCTGTATATTAGATCAGTGGGTTATATGCTTAAGTTGCCTTAGTTTGTCTTTATAAGACTTGAAACGAGCATCATTGTCCTCGTTTTTCAAAAGAGAACCAGGGCTCACAGAAACTGTGACTTTTTCTGGGTTCTAGAGTTTATTATATATCACAATCATCAATCCTGACAGATTATTAGGTCAGATATAAATTTAAAAGTTGAGTATAGTGGTGCATGTCTTTATTACCAGCCACTTAGGAGGCTGAGGCAAGAGGATTGCAAATTTGAGGGCAACTCAGTAACTTAGTGAAACCCTGTCTCAAAAAAAAAAAAAAAGGCTGGGGCCATAGCTCAGTGGTAGAGAGCTCTACTGAGCTCAACCCCAGGACTATAAAAAAAGAATTAATTTTTATATACAAATGGACATGGTCAATAGTTGAGAAAAAAAAAATCCTTGTATGCTAAGGAATGGTCATAGCACCCACCCCAGCTCCTGCATCTAGTGATCACTTTCTACATGTCAAGTAGTGTTCAAAGTATGTGATAGTGTTACTTCATTTAATATTTACAGTAACTCTGTGGAAAAGGCGTTACAATTATCCCCATTTACAAACAAGGAACTACAGGCACAAAGAATAACAAAGAAATTTGTCTGATGTTTCATGACACGAGCCTGAAAATAATACCTGTCCCTTGTTCGACCTAAAATAATGAGTTTTTCGAGGCAGCGGGGAGCTCACTTGGTGAAGTATGGTGCTAATGAAGGTGTTGGCTCATCTGGAAAAGGAATCATAAGCTCCTTCTATGGAGAGTGATGTAGATGAGAATTCTACCAGAGTTCTCTAGGTAAACTGTAAATCCACTTTTAGTGCTCAGTTTTCTCTCTCACAGAAAACTCCATTAATTACTCCATTATTCTGACCTACTTGTAATTCAAAGCTGTTTTATACTTCCATGTCTTTGTTACTACTGGAAAACCTTCTCTCATACTTCCCCTCATTAAAGCCTTCTCACTCTTTGAGTTTCAGCTCTAGTGTCCCCTGCTTTTTTTAGGATGCTTTCTGTAACACTCTAATCATAGAATATATACCCAGACTATAAGCTTATTGAGGATAGAGAACACCTCTTGCTTATTCTTTTCTATTCTCTAGAATTTGGCATAATTTAGTTTGTAATAAGCACTCAGTAAATGTTCATCGATTAAACTTATCGAAAAGTTCTGAAGATTGGGTATTCCACTGGATTTGTATTTCTCTTGCCACTACTTGGTATTCACAATAAGTGAATGGTTCTAAAGTGGGTATTGGTGGTAGAATGGAAAACCAAGAAATGTACATTTATTTCATTGAAATAATATTTCACAGAACTTATTAAGAGGATCATAATAGTAGCTAATAATAATAAACACTGTTTATTGAGTGATTTTATACACCAGACACTTTTCTAAATATTTATTTTATTTCAGCTAATTTTGAGTTCATCTTTCTAATTTATAAGATTGTTATTATTATGACATCCATTAAACTATAAAGAGAGCAAGGATCAAATAACTTGCCTGAAGTTATAAAGTAGAGAAGCCAGGATAACTCCAATGATTTCAAGGTTCTTGGGGAAATGAGAGGATCATCTGGGGAAGGAGAGGTTCCATTGGTGGAATGTGTGCAGTTTGGTTTATACATAGAATTTTAAATGGCAGAAGCCACAGAAGAGCCCTGAAGGGTAGGGGTCTTTGTTAAATCAAGAGGAGGCCTCCACTGCTCTATTCTGTTTACACATTTTCTAATAATGTTGTCTTTAACATGAAAATGCTAGTCAAACCAGCTGCAGCATTCTAACTGTAGACTGAAGCCAGCTTTCCCTGGCAGTCTCAATCTAACCACAGTGAGTCAGCCTGTTGAGATCCCACCCAACCTGGCAAACTTTTCCACTTGTGTCTTGGGTGGGGGGAGAAAGAAGAAAAAAATGCTAAAATGGAGAGGCTTTTAAACTTTTTACCTTTGTGGAACGCTGAATTATCAGAGTCTGGATATGCTTTGCTAATTAGGTGAATCTGGGTGATGTCAGCGCTGCCTTTATGTTCTGCAGTTTCAGTGTTTTTGAGTGTTTCTC